ACAGACATTTTCATTACAATTAAACCAAAAAGTTAAATCGTTGGACAGCATGGCTTTTGGAAAGTTGATATTTTGTCAGCTTTTTTTTTTTAATTCATGGCACATTTATAAGCTTTTGATGTTGGTTTTTCTCATTAATATAACCCCAGGCTCATTCAGTTCAATATGCTAATGGAAGTTGAAACTGGTCTGCGTATGTAGATGGAAAAAATCATTTTTTAGGATGTCTAAAAAGGAATAGGTACAATTTCAACCTGGCTCCCCAATTAATATTATAATTGTCTGTCTTCGATAAAAAATAGTTCGCAATATTATTGCATATTAGTATGGAAACTTCCCCTGTTCATTGCTAAGATTTACACTATAAATTCACACAGCTTCTAAAGCCAGCTTTCCTACAAATTGGCCAACATCTTGAGGCTCTCTCTGACTTCAAGCAAATGCCTGAAATTAGATGCCATAGCCATCATTTTCCTCTGCGTGACATATCAGTCCATCTTCTCTCAGTCTTTCAGCCTGTGATGAATGTGAAGATGCCGTGATTATAACAGCTGAAAGTGTGTGTGAGTGTGTATGCGTGCTCCACCTCTGCTGTTAGTTCCCTGTGTCACTACACTCGAATTCTTGCTGCAGGGAAGACTTCCGCCTGTCATCTTCACTCAAGGTAACGACAAAAAAAACCTAAATGAGACACATCATATGTCCTCCGAAAAAATAAAATTCCTTTCATTAATTTTAAGGGAATCAATATAAATTATTTGCCTGAAGCTGAAAATACATCCATTCATAAGTCATGGTTATGTGATGTGTGGGTTGTACAATGAAATTACAGAACACCATATTTACGCCTTACTCTTCAATGAAAATGTAAAACACACATAGATACCTGAATCAGAGTGAAGGGTTGAACTGTGTTTGACGTCAAATGAGGCCGTCCTCCGGTATTCAAGGCTTTGAGGCTTTCAGGAGAGCCTTTTAAATCTTGATTTCTGTAGAGCTTGGCCTTGGTCACACTAAATGATGAGACTTTTTCAGCTCAATAATGACGTCTCAGAAAAGTTAACAGCAAACTTGATGGAGAAACACGAAGGCAGCTGGATTTGACATCTTCCATGGTAAATCCATGGAACTGCGGCATTTAACAGCTAATTGTGGAACTGAGATAGGTTTAACTAACGGAAGTACACCTCCTACACCAAAAAAAGAGAAATAAGCAGACATGGGTAAAAGGAAACGGCCAAGTGTCATTGGAAAACTTTCAGCTGAATAAAAAAAATAATCAAGTCACAGTAAAGCATTTAGTTTTAGTTAGATTGATAAAAAAGAAAAGATAGTTGGAAAAAGAAGTTGTGTCAAAAAAGACCCAAAATGGCCCCTCTAGAAGTGGATTTGAGTGTGAGGTTGTTTGTCTCTGTGTGAGCCTGTATAAACTATTGAATCAATTTGACTTCTGAGTAACAAAGATAGCTGCTGCAGGACAGACATCAGCCATCGCTTTTACGACTTCTTAAGACAATATCAGCTTTGTGCTGCAAAACATCTCACAAACATATCCAGATCTAATGCTTTAGCATGCTGTCTCTCAGTAGTTGCTTCTCATATATTTCCCACAAAAACTGGAAATATCTCTACTATAAGATGCTATTTCCATTGCAGCCTGCATACATTAAGATATTAAAATTAGAAACATTATTGCAGAGAAATATTAGAAGCACACTAAAAATCATTCATCACTCACAATGGTCACTCAAGCAATTATATTCAGAGTTCTTGTTCTCACTGTAGGCTTTGTTATTTCCCCAGTTTGGAAACAGTTTGTTTTTGTAGCCTTATTGTTGTCCACCTCAGCCGCTGAATCATCGCACTTTCAAAATATTTTTATATCACAATGATTTCTGAAGTGTTCTTGTGTTTGCTTTAATCAAAACTATTGAAAGTAAATGATGCCACAACAAGTCACACTTGAGTGCGTGACAAGTGATTCGTGGTCTCATTGAACTGTGACCATCAATCCCCTCAAGCACAATTCACTACAAATTTGACTTGACTCTAACTTTGTGTATTAAAATGGGAGCTGGTGAACGGACTACCTGGAGAAAGCAGCCACCCTGGCTAGCTCCCCTCTAGATTTGCCTGTGAATGGCAGCACAGAGCACAAATGCACTGAGCATCATCCCACTTCCGGAATTCTCACCAACAACCATGGTACCAATAACACTGTCTATTGTATGTTTATGTTAATTTTCCTTTTTTTGTATCTAGTCCTTGGTCTTTCCAGGCAATATTTTGTTTTTACACCGGAAAAAAATGACATTTTAGGACCTCAACTAGTTTGATTTGGATAAACTACAGGTTTTCGGGAGCTTCAGGTGTGTATATTCTCGAGCTTGCTTGAACCAAGTGTTTGTTAAATCCTTCAGAAGACAGAAAATGTCATGCTTCACTTCTTGAATTCTGCCATGGTGATGAGGAGTTAATCAAGCCAATTGCACAGAGACTAAAGGAAGTGGCTCTCATTCAGACAACTTGTGTGCTCTTGGATTTGATCAGCATTAACCTGGTGACGGAAAAAATAAGTGCTCCACTACTGTCTGTCACACAGCTCTCATTTTCATTTCTAATTTGCCAAACATCAGTCACATTTCGAGGTAGAGAAAACCAACCTGTTGATTCTTATTTCATGTTTTCTACTTTTTTTTTTACTGAGACATAAGAATTATTTTCATTAATTTAGTTATCTTTTGACTTTTGATTAGTACTTCTGTCCCAGATTTAGAGTCCCCCTAAGTGCATAGTTGAGTCCATATAAAAGGACCAAACTTCAACAAAAACTAAAACTTTATTAAAATATTTCATGGCAAAAACCAAAGTTTAAAGAACCTATTATTTTTATTCATACGTATGGTGCCCTATTGTGGATAATTTCAATATCCAGACAATGAAAACCTTTCAAAAGGTGAGAAAATCGGATGTGCATGTCTAGATAATGAGAAAGGGGAATCACGGATCATGTGCAATGACACAGAGATGTGTCAGTATGTACAAAACAGACAGAAATCGGTGAATATTGTCTTTGTATGAGATAGTTTGTTCTCAGCATTAATCATCTTAACAAATCTTTTCAGGGTGGTAAAAAAAAACAGATAAATCTTGTTTGAGTCTTACACCAGTATATCTGAATTTAGACCGAGACTGACGCCCAGTGAAAGAAGAGGTGGTTTAAAGTAATTTTGACTTCCTCAGCGTCTCCATCAGATCCAAAGCAATACAATCCCCACAGACAAGGTGATGAGTTATATTTATCTCCAAGTTTATCAAATGTTGGCAGAATTGAAAGGATTTTGAGTCTCACAGCTGTAATGATGTGTTCCTGAGTTGCACCCAGAGCTACTTAGAGAACACTGGTTTGGTTTTGCTCTGGTCTGAATATGTCCATTCCTGTTACTCTTTGTTTTCTTGGATGCATGTACCTTGCTGCTCTCCAGCCCACTGAACAGCATAAATGATTGAGGGACCCGTGTATTTAGTTGTCATCTTAGAGAGATGTTTGGTTCGGAACTTTGGTGCTGACAGCGTTGAGATTCCTCAAATAGTGTCAAGGCACACGCAAAACTGTAACTAAATCAAACTGCAAATGTCACATAAGAGAAAGAAAGACTGTTTAAAAACTATGTTATCTGATTAAAGCGCTCCAAGTCCTCACAGACTGACACATCACGGAGTTATGCGCTTACGAGGTTTGCTAAAGGAAATTGTCTGTACAGCAAGATAATTAGGGGAAAACTCTGACATTTGTTGATATTGGAATATGTTTGCACGTGCAGTGAATAAAAAATAAATAAATAAAGATGTAGAAAATGTCCTTTACTTTGGTTTTTCTTTTGAAATGTCACCCTTTTAATTTGAGAAGTTCTACATTAAGAAAGGACATTTAAAGCAAGATCCTATTTATTTATGACTTCCAGTTTTGCGTTGTTTGGCTTTTTTTTTCAATCAGAGAGAAAGTATCACCAGGCCACTGATATGGTGCAGTCACAAATTTCATTCTTTAACTTGGCTTCCTGATGTTTCCAGCCCAGCACTCCCTCCTATATAACGCTTGATTGTTGAAATGATTATTTAAAGGCTAGAGATAGAAAAGCTCATCCTCACCTTCCTTTGTTCTTATCCATGGTCTGAACACAATTTTCCAGCCTTCGCCATGTTTGGTGCATCAGACAGCAGTAAATGCTGATCCAAGACATGCTGTCATTACAAGGAATCTGCTGCAAAGTTCACAGATTACATTATATGTTTTATCAGCTGCAGATTTCATCTGAGGAAAGAACTGTATACATTTGATATCTAATTTACAGAGTGGGTGTGGGAACAACTAGTGGTTGTGACACAGTGGGTTAAAATATAGGAGTAAACCCACTCTTGCACACTTCCAGATATTATCGAGATTATCCAGATATGCTTCTAGGTGTTTATACTAAGCAAAGAGGTGTTCATTAATCATTTGCAAAGTATTTAAACGATGTCACTATTAAAAATGTGGAAGTCTACAGTAATATTATGGATAAGCATCATAAGCAGGACATAAACAACAAAAAATACAGTCCAAAGGAATTCTGGAATTCATATGTGAAAGGTTTAAAGATGGATGTTATGATAAATAAACATAAAACAAATCTCACACTAACAGACTAAAGAGGTTAAGTGGAAGTGTTGAGGAAAACTTAAGGAAAATGTGGAATTATCACAAAATGTCGAATGCACTTGAAATGGTAATCCATACAAGTATTAATAAAAACATTAGCATGGATGATAGCAAGAGGACATTGTCTTTGAAGTGTTATTTTGTCCAGGGGGATGGAAATCAGCTGAAGGGGTGCGAAGATGACAGTGTGATAAAAGCTTGTTATTTTTACAACAATAGGAATAAAGCATGATTAAATCTACTTGACTTGATGCCTGACATCATTAAAGGACAGCCTTTTTTCTTTCTTTTTTTTTAGGGTCATTTCTCAGTCCAGAAGATGGTTTCATGAGCAGCGTTCCCAGCAATACATCACAAAGGTCAACTCTACTGTGGGCCATGACTGCTCTGCTTCCCAACGCCAGCCTTTCAGGGAGTACAACAGCTCTGCTGGCAACCACCGACTTTCCATTTAACCGGACTGTGCGAGCGGGACCCGCAGACGGCGAGTCACTGCCCCCTCTCTGCACCCTGTGCTGCTGCGGGATTGTCAATCGCACCCTGGCAGTAGCATTCATGGTCAGCCTGGCGTTTGCTATTGTGATTGGAAATGTGGTCACACTCACGGTGTTCGTGCAAACGAGGCAATCGAGAACACCACAGGGATATTTGAAAGGTAAGCGTTGTTTATCTTTTGGCTTTATTACCCTATTGGGTGCACAGTTTCTCACAGTTCTATTTCTGTAACAGTAAATCATTTGAACTAAATATTGAAGTTATGATCGATGACGAATGGCATTCTCGTTTTTTATAACCACAAAAGTACTGAGGAAGAAGATGGGAGATGCATCCGTCTGGAACGGAAACATTTACAAAATTAGCTCTTTTTTTTTTACATGAAAATGATTTGATGTTTGTGATTTATAGTTTTATGTCAAAGGTTTATCAAATTGTGCAGTTTCATTAGAAAAACTTCCTCTCAGCGTGATGCAGCTGTTTTATTCACTGATAAAACTTAAACCGTCAGAGAATATGAACAGGTTTGGAGGCTGACTGCAACTCCTCTGTTTCTCTTCCCCTCGTCATCTCCCTGTGACAGTGTCTTTGGCCGTAGCGGACATGATGGTCGGCGTCCTCGTGGTCCCTTTCTCTGTCTACACTGAAATCTCCCTGATGGTGACCAGCGCTCCTCCCATGTGGTACCAGGGCAGCGCCACTTTCCCCACGCTCAGCGGACTAGTGAGCCCCTGGCAGCCCTGCATGCTGATCGGCCCCGTGTTTGCCGGCTGCACTTTCGTCTCCATCAGCACCATCTTCCTGATGACCCTGGAGCGCAGCGTGGCCATCCTGTGGCCGCTCCACAAGGATGCGCTGGTGACCCGGAGACGGACGCTGCTCCTGATCCTGCTCTCTTGGGCCGCCAGCTTTGTGCTTGCCCTGGCTCCACTCATCTTCAGCAGCAACTTCACTTTGGAGTACAACGAGTGCAGTCGCATGTGTAACTACACCCCGCTGGTGTATGGAGGCCAGCTCCCGCCCGATGCCAACGTTCTGTTATTATTCCCGGCGTTCGACTTCACGCTGCTCGGTGGCACGCTAGCGGTTAATATTGTGTCTTTCACAAGCATTCGGCGGTACACCAAAAAGCGCAAGCTGCTCTCAGAGGGGAGTCTAAGTGATGGAGGGGGAGGAGGAGGATGCACGCACCGGCCCTCCTTTTCAGACATCAAAGCCGCAAAGACCATTGGCATACTGACTTTTGCCTTCACAGCGTCCTTCTCTCCGATTGCGGTGTTTGTGCTTGGCAACGTGGTGGGATACACCTGGTGTAACTTCTCGTTTTTTGCCTTTTGGATTCTGACGGGAAACAGTTGCTGCAATGTCATAATCTACAGTGTCAGGGACCACCGCTTCAGGAAGGGTGTGACCCTGCTCTTTCACAGAGAACAGTCCCCCCCACATGGTGAGAAGATCTGAGGGCCACATTTATTCATTCTGTAGCATCAAAGCACATGTTTTGTGGCTGTGATCCAAAGTTTGAAGTGTGCACATCCCCTTTCTTTATGAGAGGATCCATGCCCCACTTGCAGGGTACATAGCTTATCATAGCACGAGGAAAGAAAGTGGCGCAAAAACTCCGGTCTGTGGTTTATTTTTTCCGAAAGACAACACCGGTCCTGTTCTTACCTGGTGTTAACACGCCTCCTGTGGGAGTCAAACAGAAAGAGACAGCACCAAGTTCAGATTGTGAATTCAGCCAGGACACTTTATGAGCTGACCTCTCAGAACACAGTTGGAGGTGTTCAGGGCAGTGAATGTTGGCATCCTTTTAGCAACCTGAACGGGAATGTGTCTCGTTCCACTTTGGACTGATACGCTCTACAGGGACAAACGACAATACATCGGGAGGAATACTGCAAACTAGAATGACTGTGTAGACAGGTTGTGAATATTTATGTTCAGAATTGGGAGGCAGTTCTCCTTTTACATGGGGAGAAATGTCAGACTTAAGAGTCGTTGAGAAATTAGAGATGCCTGACTGTGATCAGTTCACCCATTACTGAAAAATTAGAGCCGAAGCAGTAGTCTTTGAATGGATTCTTGCTCGACCAGTAAGTCTCTCTCAAAAAATTCAAATTGGAGCTCCATTTGAATTCACCTACTCAAACTATATAAAACCTTGGTGGTCATATCTTCATTGAGATATTAGTGAGTGTTTCTGTGGCTTCTGTGCTCTAATTTTCAGTCAAGTCTATCCATTAAATCTGCAGTGTAAGCAGGGGCAGCCAGTTTTTTACACACTCTCTGTCTAAAACGATCACATGTTAATGTGTGAACAGCATCCATATAGAGGCCCAGTACCTTTTTTATGTGTGCAAAGAGAGGTGATAATAAGGAATTCTAGATTTGTTTAAGCAAGTGCCACACAACCACTTCAGATCCGTGAACAAAATAGTTTTTTCCACGTTTAGATATCCACTGAACCTGCTGACTTTGGAAAACATCTGGACTTGCTGTTCCCACATGGGACCTTCCCTCCTGCTATGCAAGATATTCCCTGTTTTGAGCTTCACAAATTACATGAGGGGGCTTTGTATCATTCAATCTATTTCTCAGCAAGAAAGTGTATGCTTTATGTGCACGTCAGAAACGACAAACATATCCCTTTTTTCAAAGGTAAATTTGTAAAGAAAAAGAACTAGTTAATTCAAAGATCTTTATCAAAGAAAGTAGTTAATTAATTAAACTATTGATTTGATTTAATCCAACTACTTTATTTCATTTTTGTATGCATTGCACGATTAAAAAGATTTCAGGTTTGAACTTCACACATACTGTAGATCATAAGGGGAAAGGGCCATTATGTGAAAAAAAAATCCTGGTTCTTTTAGCTGCTCTACTGCCACAACAGTTCACATCCCCTCCCCTTGTCTAATTTAAGCTTTCTGTGATGGGACTTTCTATGAGGAGTTCACTGACTTCAGGAATCAGACCTTTTGTATTGTTGTTTGTGTTTGAAAATCTGCCTCATATTTGTGAGATTCATGCCATTATGAATCCTGGGGTTTTCAAAGCAACAGCTTACAGGGTATGATTTGCTTTTCAGCATTTAATTTGGACTGATTTTCAGAATTATTGCCTCAAGCATTAAAATGCACTTTATGAGTTACTGTGTGAGCTCTGTCCTAGCTATATGTTTTCTCAAAAAGTTCGTTTTTTGCAGTTGATGCATGTCTTTTTGGTTTTTAGACAGTGGAAAGCAGCAATCTGTATATTTATTGCCCTGGTTCTGACTTTATGAATGGGATATTGATTACATGTATGTTATATAAAAGGGTTTGGGTTAGGGTTAGGTCAAGAATAGAGCAGACCTTTATACTGTGCCAGCTTCTCTATTCAGGGTAGGATGTATCCACAATATAAAACAATATATGTCAGCTATTAGTCTTGCGTGCTTGGAATATTGCATATTATAATTGGACAGTATGATAATAGATTATGTGGCCTAAATTAGGTTGTACTTACTGAGGGATGAATTTTCACTATATTAACTAGTGTTAAAAGGGGTGTATTTTATTTATCCTGACATAAATCACAAGTTCTCTGAAAGCAGGAATAAGCAAAAAAATATTAAATTAATAAACCTTATTTTGAAGCAGCTTTCCTCACCAGGGACAGTGGGAAATTCTATGAAATTCCATATGTGAATTCAAAAATAAGAATCCAAACTTAAATGAAAGTAAATAGCAGGAAAAACAATAATGTTTGTTTTGTTTACCATAAAGTGCCCAATAAAAGGAATTGTTTCACATTTTGTAAACTATTTTTATCTTTTCTCTAAGAGCTCAAGGATAGAAATAGATAGGTGGAATTAAAGTGATAGATGTTTAATCTCAGTATAAAGCCACAGACAGGAAGAAGTAAACAAAGCATACAGTCTGTAATTCATTTTAGCTGGCAGACATGCGCTATAAAATGATGGGAATAACAAGAATAACCTTGATTCACTTTATTTTTTTAGGAGAAACAGTTCCTAGTTAGGATGGCTTCTATTTCTATTGAATTGTAAACACAAGAAACAGCCACTGTATTTCCAGCTAATGATTTGTGGACTCTCTCATAACTGCTTTGGTACCAAATGAAAGCTCTTAAGTAGCTAAAAGGAAAAAAAGAGAAGAGAAAATCATCTACGTAAACCAGAAATGTGAGAAATAGCAAGATGCTGTGAGGGCTTTCTTACCTTTGGGCTGCTATGCAGACCAAGCTTTCTTCTGGCTGTTGCTTTGTATTTGATGTTTGCAGATTGATGTTTGTATTTCTGTACAAACATTAGTCTGATCATTCAACTCTCTGAAATTCTGTGAACATGTGAGTGTACCTCTCAAAATTGTTGTATTAGTCCTTAACATCTAGCTGAGAGGTAATCCAGTGCATGTTTATGTGTTGCTTTTTCTTTTTGTTACAGAAAGGGTGCTGTTATGGGGTGTTGACCCACTAAAAACATCAGGGAATTTACTGGTTGGTAAAAAAAAAAAAAGAACATGTTAACATTTCATATGTGGTACCAATGATGATATGTACCACATGTACCGATGACAAATATGTCACAGGAAGAAATGTGCAATGTTTAAATTTACAGACAATTTACTGATGTTAACTTCTATTAGGAGTCTGATATCTGCAGTATCTTAATTATTGTTTATTCTCTGTAGGAAAACAAGTACCGTAAACTTTATTGTGCTGGAATTGAATCACTGTAAAGAATTGTATCATAAGTGCATAATTCATAAATAGTGATTGCATCAGAGTTGGTAAAAATAAATGTGTTTGGGAATATTTCATTCGTGAGTCTAATGAGATTCAGTTATGCACTCAGCACACTGCTTGAGTATTCACAGCCTCAGCAAAACCAATTCAGCGTTTTTCTCATTTACCCTGGAATATTAATGACCTGTTCCCACAAGGTTGAAATGTATCAAGTTAGGAGGGAGTTTTTAATGGAGTGCAGGTTGGAGAGGCGAATGAGTTCGAGTCTGCTGTCTCTGCATTAGGATATCTAAAAGAAAATGAAAACGTTAAGCAAAGTGTGACAGCAGGACATGGCTGAAAAAATCATGTCACCTGTAGCAGCATGAGATGAATAATGGGAAATTTGTTTTGTTGCATGGAAACGCCTACCTTTAGACAAAAAGCAAAGGCTGATTTGCATATAAACAAAAACTTTGCAGATTGGTATTTGTTAGTCAGAACCTGCGTATGCGGTCAAGTGTCTCAGGATTGATTTCATGAGTCAAAAGGCTAAGCAATTCGGTTTTTCAGATTGGGCTGTAAAATGAAAAGAAAAAACTTGGTCTGATCAATACAGTCTCCCTGTTTTAAAGTCTCGGAGGACAGAGCTTATAACACTTCTTATGAACAACATATTTGTCTTTGCAGTCGCACTAAAGCTCTGAAACACAAGCATATAAAAAAGAATGCTCCCAGCAAGAGACATTGTAGATGACGGGTCAGAAATCTGCAGCAAGGTTACGCGCTGTTGTTTGTCCTATTTATTATTCTGTATCGTTCCTGGTTTTACTGTCCTAATTCATTTTTAATTGTCTCTGTAAGCTCTTAAGGCAAGACGTGTGTGTCATGACCAATAAAGCACAGAGACCACCTGTGGCTGGTATCTGTTTTTGGCTCAACAGAGGAAAGGGCAAAGGCAGAGATGGCTGAGAGGGGTGACAGGGAGGGGGCACATGGGAGAGATGCTGGGTTTCCTCCACAGTGGTAACAACAAGCCACGTCCGCCATAGATTCACAGGCATCGTCTAAGGATTTATCCTAAATATCTTACATCTGATGTCCAAAGAATCTGCATTCCCTGTTTTCCTTTTGAGAACTCCTTATTAAGGGGTTTTCTTTCCCAGCATTGCAATGTTCATGTGAAGTTTAGGAAAATCAAAAGCCATAGGTGACACTGTCCAAACAAAAGAAAATGTTTTAAGAGTATAAAATAAAGGAGGTACAGTATCATATTTGACACTTGTTAGTCTGCTGAAACAAACACATTGTTTTCGGTCAGTAACTTCTACAGCTTCACTGCAACAAAAAACAATAAAGGATCTCATTTTCATCACCATCAGAAGATTGAATGACAATAAAACTCCTTGATTGTTTTCATGGTAGTGCTGAATAATGGCTTGAACAATGTGGAGAACTGACTTGATTTGATCAACTGTAGAAGGAGAAAAGTGAAATTCACACAGACACACACAAGCAAATCATCTAAATTGTTCCACCCACTAGGAGGGACACGTTTTGTTTTTTCCCCTAATTCTTATGTTATACCTACCCATCAGTTAGAACTGAAGAAGCTTCTTAGATAGGAGGCAAAACATTTTCTAGAAAACTTCCCATCCAGTTGCCTAAAATGAACTTTTCAAGCTTGACCATGACCTGGATGACAAAGAATCTTCACAGATATCCAC